ACAGTGCACTAATGTCATCCGTGACTATTTTGATGAAACCTTTGGGAACAGATGGGTCGGACGTGGTGACCCAATAACACGGCCTCCTCACTCTTCTTACTTGACTCCACTGAATTTCTTTCTCTGGGATACTTGCAAAGCCTGGTGTATGAGGCTCCGGTGGAGACAGAATATGATCTTGTCGCAAGAATTGCAGTAGCAGCTGGAACCATCAGGGAAATGCCGGGAATCTTTCAAAGAGTTCAGCATAACATGGCCAGATGTTGCAGATCATGCCAATTAAGTTGGTGGCCGCCATTTTGAGCAACTTTTATAATATACAACAATGATAATGTCCCCTAAAACTTATGTATCCTCTCAGAAAATGTTGTGACTCTTAGCACCAAAAGGAAGCGTTTCCAGACATGGGTGTATTAACAAAATGTGATCAGATTGAACCCATCTCTCTACCACAGAGCATTGTAACATGTATGTATTTATGTCCTGTATATGTTTTTCCTTCCTGCTGCTCCTGTTCTAGTTGTTTGTTCGACTGACCTGTGGGTATGCAATGTTCTCTTGCTTTTCCTGTCTTCTATTTATTTATTGTGGCTTGTTCTGAAAATGTGGAGATTGTTATTACTGTGTGATGTTGGAATATTGATATTAATATCAGTCATTAATCATACATATGTTAATTACAATTGAGAGCTGAGTAGCTCAGTCTGTATAGTGATTGGGCTATTACCATGACAACTATAGAATAGGAGTTTGATTGCAAGTGGGGGAAGGAGTTTTCTTTTCGCCACTGCACCCAGACCGGCTCTGAACCCCAGTACCTTACGTCCAGTTGTTGCTGGGAGTCTTTCCCTGGGGGTAAAGCAAGCGGGGCATGAAGGTGACCCGATCACCTCCATCTCTTCATTCGGTTAAAAATATGTGGGGTTATACAGCCACTTCTTCATGTCTGTAAGGAGTTGTGCTTAATTTTGTACTGGGACAACTTTACCTTTAGTTGCAGATGTTGAAGTAGTTGTTAAGTAATGTCTGATAATGTGATATTTTGTTCAGGTTTGGTGCAGACTCCAGTATTGAACATCAGACATCGTGTGTGGTGTGCATGTGATTTCGAAGGAGATGAGCTGATTAAAGTCCTTCCATGCATTCATGAATTTCATGCAGAGTGCATTGATGAGTGGCTAAAAGTGAGTTTATGCAGATTATTGCTTTGTTTATGTCACATTTTCACTTCTGTTGATCTCCAGTCTCCTATCTAAAAGGTTAGAAACTGAAGCACGAAATAGTTTTGTCTCTAATGTATAGGTGTGAAACTTTGTCTCACTCTGTAGGAAGAAATGGACTGTGGGTATCTGTCAGGAAATATTATTGGGGCTCTATTGGTTTAGTTTCATTAAAAATGTTAAATCTCTTAAGAACATTCTTCAAATATTGAGTTTGGGTTAACTTTATAGTTTTCTTTACCCTATCTCTATTCACTTCCATTCCTAAACATTTCTTAACTTGTCCCAAATCCTTGACTTCAAAACACTGTTGCAATTTTCCTTTTAAATTCTCAATTTCATTATGAAATATGAAGATATCACCATACAATGCTATATTAATTACAGAATTACTCTTTTGTTTGGTATAAATACATGGTTCAGAACAAGTTTGCTTATGCCATAGGCTTTTCAGAACCTCTGCTGCTTTCTTATTTTATGACCTAGCAGCTTGTTTTAGTCCTTAAACTGATTTTTATAACTTGCAAACTTTATTAGACTCCCCCTTAATATCATATCCTTCAGGAAGCTCCATATATATAACTTCCTCAATATCTCCGTTTGAAAACGCGGTACAGACATCAAGGTGGTCAGTGTTCCAATCATGCTTAGCAGCTAAAGCAAATAACAATCGCATTGATGAGTGTTTCACTATGGGAGTGAAAGTTTCAATAGTCTATTCCCTTTGTTTGGCTACAACCTTTCGCCATTAAACGTGCTCTGTGACATGCAATATTTCCTTCAGCATCTCGTTTAATTTTGAAGACCCATTTTGACTTCACTACTGGCTTATTCGACAGTCTGTCTACTATTGTCCATGCTTCGTTTGTTTGGAAAGCTAGTTCCTATTGAATAGCTTCTTTCCATTTAGATTTATCAGAGCATGACAGTGCCTCTTCATATGTGACTGGTTCTGACTCATCTTTATGCATGGCTGAGTAGGTAATAAATTCTGCAAATTCTTTCTGTTTCCTGTTCCGAAGTGGATATCGTCTTTCTTCCAAATTTCCTGGTAATTGTTCTAAGCCGTTCGGCTCTAATGGAACTTCATTTCCTTCAGTTTCTACTTGTGTTTTTTCTTCTTCAGGGTTTTGTTCTTGTGGAATCATTGTTTCATCTTGTGGGTTGAGGTAGAAACTTGACAACTCTGGAAGAATCTCTTTTTTGTTTATGATTTCTTCTTCCAGAAATTCTACGTACATCTCTTGCCTAACTATTTGAGACAGATTGAGGGAATCAACCAATAAGCTTTACTATCCTCGCTATATCCCACAAAAATGTATTTCTTGCTCACAGCATCCAATTTTTGGCATTTCTCTGCTGGTACATGAGCATGAGCTGGACATCTGAAAATTTTTATGTGGGAGTGATCAAACTTTTCTCCTGTCCATATTTCTTCAGGCAATTGGTTCTTTAGTTTCTTGTGAGGTGATCTGTTCAAAAGATATACGGCTGTTTGTGCTGCTGCAGCCAGAATCATACAACATACATCTTGCTTTTTTCCAAAATACTGTGATTAGCTCATTCGGCAGTTCCATTTTGTTGTGAATTATACGGCACGGAGAATTCCCTTTTAACTCCCTTTTGTTTTAACATGTCTTTGAATAATTTGCTGCAAAATTCACCACCATTTTTGGTACAAACAGCTCTTACAGTCAATCCAGTTTCTGTCTCAACCATATTCATAAATTCTTTAAAGGCTTCATATGTGTCACCTTTTGTTTCAAGAAATGAATGAAGATTTTTCTACTGTGATCATCCACAATAGTAAAAAAATATTTAGCATTCTCATAAGAGGGTACTTCAAATGGCCCATCCAGATCTAAATGTAATAGATCAAGTATTCTTTTTGACCGTTTGTTCTTTCATTATAGGAAAGGCTTCTTTGTCATCTTGAAAATCAATGCCACTAGCTAAACCTTTTTTTAGGCAACCACATGTGAACCCTATTTAAATGCCCCAAACGCCTATGCCACAACAGTTGTTCATCAATTTGCTGGGTTCCTGCAACTTGTTCATTCTTTACAATATTAGTACAAGATTTCTCACATGTATCATTAATCTCTTTGGTATTAATCTTATCTTTAGTTGCAGTATTTGCATATTGGGTCAAGTTAGCTTTGGTATTTAAACAGTAAATCACATTTTCAGGATATGCTGTGGCAAGAACTTTGCCTGTTACCTTAAAATCATCAGAATCATATAAGTTGCAACAGTCTTTGGTGAATAACACAATCATACCCTTGTTTACAATTGAGTTCACAGATAACAAATTTGTAGACAATTATGGTTCATGCAATACATCTGAGATATGGCTAAAATTGTCATTCACAAGTTTTACAGCACCAAAACCAGCACTAGTTAACACGTTATCATCAGCAAGACTTATCTCATGTTCCTTGGAATCATGTGTTTTATAATTTTGCAAAACAGTCTTAGTTCTAGTCGTATGGTGTGAAGCACCAGAGTCTATTACCCAAGTATCATCCTTAACTTTAACATGATAGGCAGATACCTCATACATGGATTTTTACTGGTCTTATTTTTCCATTTATTTTCATTATACCTTTGATCAGATCCTTCTTTATTTTCATCAGTACTATTAACTGACTTAGAAGACTGATTGCCCTTAAATTTTTGGTTCTGTTGATTGTTGTGATTTTTATTGTTTGCCTTATCCTTATCTTTAAACAAACAGTTTTTCTTTATATGGCCTAGCTTACCACAAATTTGACATTTTGGTAGTTTACGTTTAAATTTATCTCTGGACAGAAAGGCTGAATCTGAATTTGCATTTTTACCAAATTCAGTATCTTGCAATACCTTAGATTTAATGAGCTCACTAGTCAAAGTCACACTGGGATAATACTCTTTAGTTAAACCCTTTAATATTAAAGTGGCTAATACCTCATCTTCTATTTTCTTGCCCACTGAGACTAATCTAAGATTTATTGACATGAAGACATTAACATATTCCTGCATACTTTTATTTTCCTCAAATTTCAAAGAGCACAAATCAGTTAAAATACTTATGCAACTATTGAGACCCTGATCTTTGAATGTTCTTTTCAACACGTCCCAGGCTTCCTTTGCTGTAGTTGTCTGGACAAAGTAAGATTTAACTTGGGGCTCCAATGTCAGACAAATAATAGCTCTGGCTTTCTCGTCCTTTTGTTTCTTGAGGGATGCGGGAGTTGTATCTTCTGAAGCATATCCACCGACTGCTGCCCACACAGTTTTGATCACTAGAACATTTTGAATGTCAAAGGACCATTTGAGCTTATCAGTATTCACGAAGGGCTTTGAGGTGGCCATGATGAAACTTGTCTCTTTCTCTTGGTGGCAGTGTCAGTCAGTCCAAGGGATCACTTTTAAATAACACTTTCACTTTTTACTATTTATACTTATCAACAATTTTCCTGGGGAGTAAAGCGCGGCCGGCACTTAAGGCTGACAACCTTACCGCCATCTTTGAGCCAATTGTCTAGATAATGTGGGACCCTCAACGTCTCACAACCCTGTGGGCCTTCACGGCCTGGTACTGGGATAGCTTTACTTTTTTTTTTACTTTATCAATAATGCGATCCTGGGCCCATAATCTGTTAGTGTCACTTCTACGTGGATCGAATGATAAGTAGTCAGTGTTCAAGCTAACCCTGCTTTATTAACACTGACTTTTGATACACAAAGGTGTTTTATATATATTCACACATAACAATAGAGAGATTCACGATACCAACATGAGACTTAAAGGTTATATTTGTCAGACTTAATGCATAAAATATCTGTACTTAAGTAACATGCTTCCAGAAAATAAAATAACTGTAATAATCATAATAGGAACTGGATTAGCTCAGTTGGTATAGCGACTGGGCTATGGGCTGGATGGCTGTGGAGTTAGGGTTTAGTTCCTGGCATGTGGGAGAGATTTTTTTTTTCTTTTATGAAATGTCGAGACTGGCTCTGAGGCCTACCCATCATCCTATGCAGTGGGTATCTGATGGTAAAGCACCCGGGATATCCACTTATGTCACTGGAACTGAAGCCCAGGACCTCCCCAAATGAAGCAAGCACTATGACGCAACACTCTGTCTCAATCTTGTACAATTGCTGTATAACATGTTGGCATAGCCAGAAGTTGCCCTACACTTCATAAAGACATGGCTGAGTGGAGGTACAGCTGCAGGAGTTCTTAATTTCTGCATTAGATGGAAATGAATTGCCAGCTTCAAGCCCTGCATACCTACACGAAACACCCCCCCCGTATCTACCACCTGGCCAGTCATGAAGAGGAAAACCTTTTGTCTTCGTCAGGAATCAAACCACAATAACCCAGATACTGGACTGTTCTGACCATGCCACATGGATCTAAGTTGATTCTGTGTCAGTTGCTAGAACGCAAAAGCAAGTTTTTACAGGTTATTTGTACCATCAATGCATACAGTTTGGGCTGAACAGAGGGCCTACCGCTCCATTTGGGGAAAAGCACCAAGAACTTCAGTCAGCATATTCAATCCCTTACAAGATCTGCGCCTAGAGACTTCGCAAACGTGCTCATTAGATTCAACTATCTGCAAACCTGCTAAGCCCATCACTTACTGACCTGCTGCCACACTTTGCAAAACTTCTGAAAAGTGACACAGAACCACACATATGCTCCAACATTATACATACACTGTACGACCATTACTTACCATTCCTTTCCCCCGGAATATAGTGGCCAATCCAAAGTCACAAATATTTAGGTTATCGTATTCATCCAGCAGAATATTTTCCGGCTTCAGGCCACGATGTACAATGCCATGGCTATGAAGGTACTCCTGATTATCAACACGCAACAAGCAAGAATTAGTTCAGTTGCCATATGTTCTACACACAGATATCATTAAAACAGTGTTGCATCAGCAATGAATGAAGAGTCTAGGATAACTCAATTTGTACAGCAATAAGCTACAGGCTGGATGGTCGGGGTTCAATTCATGGCAGGGACAAGAGTCTTCTTCCCCACAGCATCCAGGCCAACTCTGGGACCCACCTTGCCTCCTATCAAATGGGTACCATGGGCTCTTTCCCTGGGAGTAGAGCAGCTGCTGTGTGAAGCAGACAACTCACCTTGATCTAGCACCGAGGTCAAGAATGGTGGAGCTGCACTTCCACTCCCCCATACATCTTCTGGATGTAGTGCTTAATTAAGCACTGGGACAACTTTATCTTTGTCAGGAATAAATAAACAGCAAGACCAACAGTGTGTAAACAGGCGTGAGGTTCACACAGTGAAGGACATTCGTATTGCAGCTTTTTGGAAGATCATGGTGTGTAGTATTGTAGATAAATAAAAGCATACTGAACGAACCTGCGGTTGCCATCTTCAGAATAAAGAGTGGGACCTCTTTTACACTGAAGATGGAGACAGCAAGTTCCTCTGAAACGCTGGTGCCCATCTACGAACCATGCTTTCGAAAGCCCCAAGCGATAGGTGTAGACTGTGAACACAATGGATTTACTAAATCTGTGAACTATGGCCTGGGATACAATGTTACGCTGACAGCTCTACCGATTCACAATCAACAAATATTCATTCATTCATTCGTTTGTAAGATCCTTACGAATGACACTTTGGCACATGCAGGAATAAACAATACTATATGCTGTAGCCTCATAATTCTGAATGATAATTTTCCTTAAGGTGTGCATTTTCTAAAAGCAAATATTTCTAAGTTTCAAAATTTAATTACACAAGGTTTAATATGCGTGAATGCATTTTGTAAAGATAATACTACAGATAAACAAGTCTTGGGATTACTGGGGTAATCGACTTTCTGAAATGTGCTCTTCACAGTACCAGATGATGGGTAAAGTCCAAAAACCCAGTAATCACAAGTGTTATACACCATAATCAGAACACTTTAGAATCTTAGACATACAAATTCCTATCCGCAGCATACCATATTAGAGAAAGATAGACTTCACTCACCACTCCTGAAAGTATCTCATTGAAATATCTCTGACCTGCTGAGTTTGTTATGCCACGATCAGGTTCTGGAAAATACAAATGAAAGTTTGGTTACTTTTTGCAAATAGCAAAGTGCTATCTTATACACTCACTACTTGCTCCAAGAAAAGCAGACTAACTACAATTACTAAGAATTACAAATGCAGTGGGGGGGAGATTACACCAGCATTCCTTGAACACCTTGAGGCCTGCAAGTCACAGCATTCAAAACGTTTGACCCAAAATTGTTTCTTAAATCAATCATGTCTGTCAAATCTTGCTAATGAGGTATGTTGCATATGATGTACACAACATCCTTTACTTCCGACAAAGAAATGTTAATTCTGGAATGCCTCCACAGATGTCAGAAATCCCATGGCTACAAAAAAGCAATAAAACTAAACATGCGTGCCATCTATACTTGCCTGATATTCAGAAGAGCAACTCTGCGATGCACACGGACAAGTGTCAGTAAAATTGCACTGGTATAATGCTGCTTATCATCCGTGACAGCAATAACAGCAAAACCAAATATATCAACTGTTCAACTAGCCAGTTAAAATACTGACAGTTCTATCAATCCCCATATTATTTTTTATAACTCTTGAAGACTACTGCACCTTCCATTTCTTTCCCATGTCCTGTGAAAGTAGACAAGAGTGCAGCCTAACAAACTTTTCAGTGAAACATTTTACTCCTAATTATCTGTGGGAATGGAAGGGAAAGTGCAGCCTAACAAACTCTTCAGTGAAACATTTTACTCCTAATTATCCGTGGGAATGGAAGGGAAAGGGCGCGCAAACAACAAATAAATGCAAACAATCAAAGGATTCCTCTAAATCTGGAAATGGATACACAAGCAGCCCAATGGAAAATTAAGATTTATAGAAAAGGCAAACTGAACGCTGAGTATGTTTAATTTTTCTCTACTACTTCTGGTGAAAACATTTTCCCTCCAAAAAATATTTCATAGGATACACAGACACAGCTGCAGGTCTTCATGCAAAGTGCTCATGAAAACTGCCTGAGCTAACTGTGAGCTGAAATAGCTTGACAACTTCCTTTCTGCAAAACTCTCGAATATTGAAATTAATGTAAATCTGTCCACCTGTTCTAAAGCTGTTTCACACATACAGAAGCGATGAGCAACATGTGCTCTACGAAGTTGTCTGCCAATACACCTAGCACGTGCATGGATAAGACACAAACCAGACAACCCTTGCACAGCTAANAATACACTGTACACAGGAAATCATTTCCATTTCCTCCCTCACAAAGACAGCAGAAGAAACCAACCAAAGAAGGAAGATCCATGAAAAGTGAATGTTACTTTAGCATCCTAAACATAAGAAATTACAGATTCCAAACATTCAATCATTCTTGTGTGTAACAGATCATGTGAAAAAATGTTACATCCAGGTTACTGATGTATGTCAGTTTGACCAGCTCCATTATGAACGATTCTTTTAATTGCTGATTGTGAACAATACTCACCAGTTATGCAGTCAAAGAGGTCTCCTCCTGACAGAGACTCAAGGAAGATGTACTTGAGGTTTCCTTCGTGGCGATGTCCGTAAAACCGGACGATGTTCAGATGGTTCACCATTCTGTGGATGAACACCTCTTCTTGTACGCTGCTTTGTGCACCTGAATGTTTCTCCAAGTCGATCTCTTTCATTGCGACTTGCTCTCCCGAACCTCTGTGTGTCAGAAAATTTACTCTGTTATGTGCAAAAATATTAATGAAACTAAAGATTTAATTCCTCTCCATCTTAAGGACAAAATGTGTAAGACAATCTGCTGCAATGTACACTGAAATCCTAATCAGTTTTTCTTTAAATTTCAGGCTCGTTAATAAAAAAGAGCACTCACTTCATTGCACAAATCTCTTATCCTACTCTCTATCGTGATTACTGAAAGGCAAAGCTATCCCTCGGATTTCACTAATTAAGGACCACACCATGAAGACATACGGGGGAGTGGAAGTATAGCCCCACTACTCTTAACCTTGGCTTTAGATGGAAGTGAGTGGTCAGCTTCATGCCCCGGTTGCTTTACCACCGGATACCCACTGCATAGGATGATGGGTAGGCCTCAGAGCCAGTCTCGACATTCCAGAAAAGAAAAAAAAAAAATCTCTCGCACATGCCAGGAACTAAACACTAATTCCACAGCCATCCAGCCCATAGCCCAGTCGCTATACCAACTGAGCATCCAGTTCCTATTATGATTATTACCGTTACTTTATTTTCTGGAAGCATGTTACCTAAGTACAGATATTTTATGCATTAAGTCTGACAAATATAACCTTTAGGTCTCAGGTTGATATTGTGTTTATAATTGTTGACTTACAAACAGTCCTTAAATGATGTATATTTATGGTTTTGCACCATGCCAAATATCAGGCCCAGGCCCAGCTCCAGAGCTTTTCCTGTTGTATTTTTCAGTTATAAATTTTGGACCTCAGGATTGTAAATACATACATCATAAGCACAGCAACGCTATGTGAGTTTTGGACAAAATATTATGTCTGAGGTTAGAGAATT